AAAATATATGGCATAAATGCCCTTTGACACCAGTGAATACGTGTCTACCTCACTCTCTGAAACGGCTTCATGGTATTCACTGGACAGAGGCGTCCTGTTTGTTGAATCATTCTCCCGTTGAGTGGGTGCCCGGGATACGGTGGTTGGTGTTATGACCCGCTCTGTAATGAACAAGCGGGGACGTGCATCTGCTTAGCCCCTTAGGAGAAACGGCTGGAAATGGGCAGAGGGGTACGTGTGCACAGTGCACAAGGGGGCAGCCATCTGCGCCACCAGCCCACCTTCCCGCGCACCCTGCACCGTGGCAGCCCGAGAGGTGACACTGCGTTGGGCACCCCTCCGCCTGTGCACTGGCACGCTGTCCCTGCCGAGGATTGTTGCCACGTGCGCGCTTCGGCCTTTTGCACTGAAGAGCTTCGTCTTTCTTCCTCGGGACTCGGTGCCACTCGCCCCCGGCTCGGCAGGGCTCTTTCCTGAGCTTGGACTTCACTCTCCTTTATGATTATGAGCGGGGGTCGTGTATGTGGGTAGACGGTTGGGTCAGTCACTGCCTTTAATTTCTGTCTTTGGCGTCCTACTTGGGGCTTTCTCCCCCAGCTTTACAAAGGACCCCACTTCCACCTCCGGCACTTGCCTGGTCCGCCTTCTGTTTAGACCGCCGGCTCCCCTGCCGTCAGCAAGGCCGTGGCGGGGGGGCTCTCGCGGAAGCCGCTGTCCCCGCATCGGTGGTTCTGCCGGTGCGGGGCTCCGGTTAGTGAGCACGTCAGCCCTGGAGGGCCGTTTGTGTTGCCGCTGGTCAGCTGTTGCTGGCGTGAAAGCCGCCCTCAAGAAGCACACCCGCGAGCGAGTGCAGCCGTGGTCCGGTGAAACTTCACGTAGAAGAGCGGCCACGTTCAGCCCCAGGGCTGCGGTTTGCTGACCCTCCACTGGAGGATAAATGGCCTGTCCCGATGTCGTTTGCATTTTTTACAAAAAAATTCAGGGAATAACCGAGTGATTGCCATTTATGAAACATACTGCTACTGAGAAAAATCATAAAACGGTTTAGACATTTTTGTTAAAAAAAAAAATACACTGCAGCACTCAGAAAGCCCCGTCCCACTGGACACCTCAGACTTTTACCAAGTGGGTCGCTAGCGAAGCAAGAGCCTGTCCCGCCTTAACCGAGACCCTCGCCTTGAAGGCCCAACCCCGGAGGCGCAGGGCTCCGCCTCCCGGGGTGAAGCTGTAACGATGTCGATGTCGTCACAGGGTCTCGTCACGGAGCCGGGGTCCCCCCTTCAGCATGTCAGCATCCCACCGATTTGTTTCCGCAGGTCTGAAAAGGAGCCCCAGTTCAAGTTCATCTACTTCAACCACATGAACTTGGCGGAGAAGAGCACGATCCACATGAGGAAGACCCCCAGCGTGTCCCTGACGTCCGTGCCCCCGGACCTGATGAAGATCCTGGGCGACATCAACAGTGACTTCACGCGGTAACGCGCGCCGCCCCTCCGGCTTGGTCCCCTCCCCGGCGAGAGCGGCGGCGGTGCTGGAGGAGTCAGCTTCCAAACCCAGGGCCCCGGGCTTCTGGGGCCGCTTCCAGGCCGGCTGTTACGCCCCGACGTGCCCGGTCACGTGCCCATGACTCCCCGAACTTCTCCAGTGACTCCAGTTTCCTGTTTCTTGTTTTGCATTGTTCGTTTCCCATAGCCTGACTCTACGTGCACTAAGCATCGCACTGTGAAACTCCTGTCTTGCAGGGTGGACGAAGACGAGGAAATCATTGTGAAAGCCATGAGCGACTACTGGGTGGTCGGGAAGAAGTCTGACCAGCGGGAGCTCTACGTGATTTTGAACCAGAAAAATGCCAACCTGATTGAAGTAAATGGTAACTAGGATTTGGTACCTGAGCCGCATTTCAATGCTTCCACTGTTTAAAAACTAGTCTTTTCCCTGCACTGAGAAACATGTGAGGAGGCCATCGTGGCCGTTGAGATTTTAAGCAGATGCCTCTCTGTTGCTTAAAAGGAATCCATTTGGTCCATTCTGTGCTCTTCTGTAGCTTTAGTTCCTAGAAAAAGTGTGTGAAAAACTTTCCTGTGTCACAGGAAACGTGACAATGGCCAAAAGAAAATTACTTTTCCTGATGCAAAAGGGAAGAACACCCCGTGGCCTCCCACACCGTGTATGAGAGGTCGCCCTCATTTCTGTGATGAGACGACACAGGTGGTTTTACAGCCACCTCTGTGTGCGGAGCAGGGTGTCCGGGCAGCTCTGCTGCTCTGGGGGGAAGGGGGCGCCACTGTCCCTGGGCCCCGACGCCTTAGCAGCTCCTAGAGAGACCAGAGCACAGAGCGGACAGTTGGGGGGCGGTGATGCGCCCCAGTGCCACCTGTAAGAAGAGTGAGGTGGGAGGTTTTTTTCCGCGTGTGCCCTCCAGGGCCCGTGACATCTCTCTCTCATTAACACACACGAACGGTGGCGTGCACCGGAAACCTCCGTGAAGACACGGCTCAGTGCGGTGGAGCCGCGTCAGGCCGGGATGTCTCGCGAGCCCCTGGCCCACGTGCAGCGTGGCAGCCGGAGCTCTCCAGACTCCGGAAGTTCCGCTCCCAGCCCCTGGCGCGTGGGCGTCTCCCGCTCATTTGGTGCTGGTGTGCGTCCTCTCTGTGTCTCTCAAACGGCACCGAGTCTTGTGGGCGTGTTGGGCTCTGTCTTCCTCTGTCTGTTAGCGTTTCCTACCCAGGCTTCTGAGAAGTAAGGTCTCAGTTGAGGAAGACATTTACCTACCCCCAGCTGTACTCCGGAAGAGTCTAAAGCGCTGACAGATGCCCCCTACCCTTAAGGAAGCGCAGCCCCCTCAGGCGCTGTGTCTGCTCTCCCCGCAGAAGAGGTGAAGCGGCTGTGCGCCACGCAGTTCAACAACATCTTCTTCCTGGACTGACGGCGGGGCTCCCGGGCGTCTTCCAGAAACCGCGCGGCGAGCGCCTCGTCCCCGCTGCGGGCTGCTGGTCGTGTTCGGGACCGACCGGGACGACAGTAAAGCAATACTTGCTTTGAAGAATCAATTTCTACTCAGTGTGACGATCCCCTGGAGTTTTTAGATTTTAAATATTTATGTGCAATTAAAGGTAGTTGGCTACATCTCGATCATTCCCTTCTTTTGACATTATGTGAATATTTTACTGAGAAATAAGACTAATAAATTGTTAAAGTTTTTAAAATTTTGGTTTTGCGTTGAGTCTGTCTCCCGTTGCCTGCCTGCAGACCACACGGGCCAGCGGGTCCCTGGCTCGTCCTGGGGGTAGACTGTAGCAGCTACAGCTTCGTGGAGTTGGGGTTCCTCCCCTGGCCACTCGACCTCAAGTGGTGAACTACGGCACTTGCGCAGAGTAGCCGCCAGACCGGGTTTTGTCTCGAGCACGGTGGTTTTCAGACCCCGCACACCATGGAGATCTCAGCGAAAGGGCCGCAGTGTGGCGTCAGCACCAGGCACCCTCGCGGGCCGTGGGGAACTCCCAGGCAGCCACACTCCGCATGCACCTTCCCAGCTGAGATGGGGCTGGCTGGATTTTCCCTAATCCGGCCTGACCGCTAGTGACCCGGACATCCTCGAGTCCGGGTGAAAACTAGCTGGACGTGGTCTGGAAACCCGGGTCCTGCCCCGGCCGAGCACGGGCCCCAGGGTTCCCCGTCACCGGACCCGCACGAACCTGCCGAGTCAGGAAGGAGAGGGGAGGTTTCTCATCACCTTGGACTTGTGTTGTCTCACACAGGCGGCAGTTTCCATTACGATGTTCCCTGAACCCAGGAGTCCCTTTTCAGTTTGTATGGTTTCGTTGCCAACGGTCGGGGGAGGCTTGCTTCGCTGTGTGCGCACATTGCCGACTTATTAATTACAGTGCAATCAGATCTGGTCTCTGACGTACCGTTTGAAACTGTTGCACTTTTCATCCAAAACATAGCCAGTGTTTACTCTGTTGCATTCTGGTTTCTAACACTTGTTACTTCAAAGGTGGTAGTTTAGTGCTTCAGTTGTATCCTTACTAATCGTTGTCTTCCTGATCCGTTTCTTCCATCATGATCACAGTTTTCTTTCCTGTAACTGCCACATTTTGCAAGCAATCTAACCACCTTGATTAAACTTTCATGGTACATTTTTTTCCATATTTTTATTTTCATTCTTTCTATATGGTTTTGTTGAAGATGTTTCCCTTGTAAAGAGTAACATTGAAGTGACTTTATTTTTCAGTCCAATCTAAGTATCTCTGGGGTTGGCGGGGAAGGGGTGGGTTTAGCCTGTAACATTGGTGATTCCCAGGAACTCTCTACGTCTCCTCCTCATGTGTTTTCTGTTTCCATCTTTTTCTCTTTGTTGTTTTCCCTTTTTCCAGATTTATGTTGGACGAGTTTCCTTCCTTCTCCTAGTCTGGGAGTTATGTATTTTTATGCTTTTGGGAGTTCTTAAATTTTAAAACAGCTCATTAGCTCGGCCATTTTCTAACAGAGGCAGAGAGTTCCCGTATCTGCCGACTGCTCACCTGCCCTCAGCCCCGTTGTTCCGCTGCGGTCTGCGGTCTGTGGTCCACGGGAAGGGGCTGCATCAGAGGCAGCATCAGAAGGACAGGCAGGCGGACACGGGGCGGTGACAAGGGGCCAAGGAGCTGAAGAAATGTTTCAATAACTCCATCTACTCCCCGCTGACATCCGATTGGTTTTATCAGATTCTAAACTCAGTCACCAAGATATTGACTAAAAACTGCTGACTCCCCGTCGGCACGCATTTTCATTCGGCTCCGTCTGCACAGGCAGCCACCAGTCCCTGGTCCGACCCAGAACGCGCCCGAAGTGCGGGGGCCCAGAGTGCTGGCGTCTCAAACACGCTGAGACGGAAAGTAAAACACAGCCAGTTTTATTGGTCAGGAAACTCATCACAATGCTTTGGTCCTAAACTCCTTTTACATCTAGAAACCCAGTGACCTCTATTTTTTCTTTTTCTTACTGGTGATGGTCTTGGATTGGACCATCACCGTGTCCTCTTTAGGGGGACTCGGTGTCAGATGCAAGGACGTGGCTTCCACCGGCTCCTTGATCACGGTGATGTGGACCTCATAGTCTTGTCTTTTGGGCTCTTCCTTTCTCAAGCTATTCAGCCTAACACGAGAAGCAAACAGAAGGAGGTATTTTTTTTCTTTGCAATTTCAAAGCCACTATTTATGCCCTGTGGTGTAAAGTAGTCTAAACCTAGATGGCAGTTTACAGTTTTGTGTACAGAACTGATCTGCTTTTGTTCACAAAAATTAGGTTACTGTCACGTTGCCCGGAATGCAGTGATACCACGTCTCGACCTTATCTACAGTGACTCGTGAACCACTTTTCTCTTGGCAGCTGGCAGCTAGTAAGTAGCCTTTGAAAATCCTTCTGAGTCTTTTTCCTTAAGTCCAGTTTAGTACTTTCTTCAACAGAGCGGCAGGCTCGAGGAACACTTCACAGAAAGCAGGCGTTTGCACGCGGGACCAACAGGTCTGCATGGCTTTGAGCCCAGACAGCGGTTCTGGAAAGGTAAGTGTGCAGCCCTTACTAGGTGCTCACGGAGCACCAGTCGTTCTTTTAGATGCTTTACAAGCAGTAGCTCCCTTCATCCTCACCGCCGGCCTATGGGGTGCTACCTCCAGCTTACAGATGAGGAAACCGAGGCACACAGTGGCACCCCTTGCCCAAGGACACCCAAGCGTTAAACGGAGGGGCTGGGATTTGAACCCAGGCCATGTAGATCTGTAGTCTGACTCCCAGACACTCCGTCACATTGCCTTTTCATGGGAACCTTGTGATGCAGGCGTCACTACCATCGTGGACGACAGGAGAGAACGGGTGCCCCCCAGGCAGGACTCCTCCCGGTAGCCGTGGGTTCTGGCCCCCCGTGAGGACGGGCCGCCCTTAGGCAGCTGTGTGCTCTCAGTGAAAGCACTTGGTCCTGAGGCTGCGGGCAGCTCCAGGAGACAGGAGGGAAGGGCCCCGCGAGCCCGTGTGCGCGCAAGGCGGGGAGCATGCGTTACCTTCTCTCCACGCTGTCCACCGTTTCTCCGTTCCTGTCCAAGGCCATGAGCTGGGCCTTGTTCTCTCTCACTTTCCCCTGGAGGGTCTCTTCGCGCCTGTGAGCCGGGAAGAGTGCGTTGACGAAAAAGCAGCACACACAGCTGGCCCACGCATGGAGCTTTGCGGCCTGCTCGTCCTCGGGGCTTGCTTGCTTCTCTGGAAGGAAGTTTCGTTTCAGCGCATGCCCTCACGGCTCTGCAGCAGCCCTGGAGCCTGGGCGCCCGCCCTGCCCCTGCCTGCGGTGGGCCCCCGGCCCCTGTGGCGTGGGGGTGCTGCGCTCCCAGGCACCCGGGAGCCGGGGGACTGCACAGTGCTCACAGCCTGCCTGGAGCAGGGCGGACGCCACCGGGCCTCAGCCACACCTGTTAGCTTTTCCTTCGAGTCTCCTGGTACCTGTGCTTTTTTCTAAATAGCTTCCATTTTTTGGTTTTTTAAATTAAAATTTTAAGCCCTGGCTGGCGTAGCTCAGTGAATTGAGCACGGGCTGCGAACCAAAGCATCGCAGGTTCGATTCCCAGCCAGGGCACATGCCTGGGTTGCAGGCCACGGCCCCCAGCAACCGCACATTGATGTTTCTCTCTCTCTCTCTCTCCCTCCCTTCTCTCTCTAAAAATAAATAAATAAAATCTTAAAAAAATAAAATTTTAGAAAATTTACAACACTTCCCATGTCTCAGGGGAAAAAAAGACCTCTTGGCATTTGCACAAATTGTCTTTTTAATTTTTATTTATTTATTTTTAGAGAGGGGGCAAGGAGGGAGAAAGAGAGGGAGAGGAGCATCAGCGTGTGAGAGATGCATCCATTGGTTGCCTCTCGCACGCCCCGGAGTGGGGACCCGGCCCGCAACCCAGACTGGGAATAGAACCGGCGGCCTTTTGGTTCTCAGGCTGGCGCTCACTGCACCGAGCCACACCAGCCAGGCCTGCCTGCACTGTCTTTAAAGGTGGCACTGTCACCTTTAAAAATAAGAGGGTTTTAACTCTGAATTGAGCAAGAAAATAATTACTGACTTGTGAAATGAGCCGGACAAAGACAGACAGACACCGTATCATCTCGCCTGTATGTAGAATCTTGGCAGTGTCAGAAAAACAGGTCAGATTTGCGGTTCCCGAAGGCAGGGGGTGGGGGAGGGCCAAGTGGATGGGGACGGCCACACGGCACAAACTGCGTTTTATTGGACAAGCAAGCGGTAGGCGGCATGATGACGGCCGGGACCCGGCCGCGCGGCCTGTCTACGTGAAAGTCGCTGGGAGTGTAAATCTTCCGAGTTCTCATCACAAGGAAAACGTTTTTCTTTTGTTTTCTGGGGTGATTGTGGTAATCACTTCAAATCTTAAGCCAAATCATAATGTCCACCTTAAACTTGTGCAGCATAGTGTAAGTCAACTATATCTGAATAAAACTGGGAAAAATGCAAAAACAAACAAACAAGACTCAGACAGACCGGGCCTTGAAAGTGAACTCTGTCGAGCAGGAGGCAGAACTGGAAGCAGCAGTATCAGCCTAAACATACACACGTGTGACAGCTATGTATTTCCCATACACTTTACATAATTTATAAGAAACAGTTTGCCAAACTTAAAGTTCTGTAATTATAGGACTCACCATTTTGAGGTAAATAAAAGGTTAGTGCTTTCCCTGCAGATAGAAAATTAATTTTGGTAATTCTATCATCACTTAGAGACTTCTTGAAATTGCCCTTTTACATGGAAAAAAAAAACATAAAGCAAAATATTATTTCTGCATCATTACGGACTAAAACAAAGTTTCTACATTTTAATAATTCGAAGATTGTTAATGAGACCATTCTCTTGACTATTTTTAACCTGCATAAAGTGTTGACATTCATACTACTAACAAAACGAGTAACGCGGCAGCACTGTATCTACTGCGAACCTCCCCTCAAGAAACCGAAGACTTGAAAAAGTACTTTTTACACAGTTAACTTCCATCCATATATGGATGGATTTAATCACCACATACACGCTGTTTGCACCCACATTCCTGTGCCCAGCTAGATCTTGCCCTTGAACTCCGCACTTGTGTATCCAGCTGTGCCACTTGCTGTCGCCCTTGGATGACATGTCCTAGTATGTCCAAAACCAACCCCTTAATTCTGCCCCCACCTCCGCTCCCCCACCCCAGCCTCCCCCTCCACGGTGAATGGCGATTCCGTCCTTCCCAATCCTTCCGACCGACCAGGCTGGGGACCCGGCCCCCGTCTTTGCTGTCGCTGTGCCCCTCTCTGTGCGGCCTTGGCACCACCTCCAGACAACTCCAAAAGCCAGAATGCTGACTGGTTTGTCAGCGGTGACCCTCTGCTCGCTGCTGCTCCGCTCCTGCTCCGCCCCTGCTCTGCCGCTGCTCCGCCCCGGCCACCACCAGAGTGCGCCCACTGCCTCCAACCTTTGCACAGAGCAGTCCTCTCCCGGCTAATGACCGGCTGCACCCATTCCCGCAGGCACACTCGGACCGCCCCACCCTGTCAACCAAACCCACAGGGCAAATCTGGAGCCAAACTGCCAGCACGGGACCCCCCCAGCTCTACTACCTGCTAGTTCTGCAACGGTGGGCAAGGGTCTTAACCTTTCCCAGCCGCAGTTCCCACCAGAGACAGAGACAGGACCTACGACTGCATGACACCGGGTAAACCCCACATGGGAGTTCGCGGTTCTGTGTCCACCTGTGACCACCTCCTCTCTTCACCCAAAGGAACAGTCCACAGGAGGACAGGCTGTGCGTTTGCTGCTAGGTCCCCAGCACAGGGAAGAGCACTCATCACACAGTAGGCGCACAACAGTGGTCGGAAGTACAACCACGTAGTGTCGAGGTGGCGCGTGGTGGATACGAACCTCTGTCGCCTCGATTTCGCCGAGGTCAAGCGAGAACCCTAACCTCCCCGAGGACGACTTGATGCTGCCAAAGTGCACGTCGGACTCCTGGCTCGTTTCTAGACTCAGACTCCTCCTGTTCTGGGGTTCAGAGCAAGGACAGGCCGTGAGACGGGAGACTGTTTCCATGGAGACACACACACTCACACAATCTTAATGAAGTATCCTCCACAATTAACATAAAATGTACCATTTGATGAATGTCAACATGTCTACACCTGTGAAACCATCACCGTGGTCCGACAGTGACGTGCCCGTCATCCTGAAAGCCGCCTGTGCCCCGCAGGGACCCCTCCTCCCCTCCTCCAGCAGCCACTGCTCACCTGCCATCACTGCAGGTTACTCTGCACTTTCTAGGGATGTGATGTAATTGTATATAATCACAACAGCATGCACCCTTTCTTGCTGGGCTGCTCCCCCCAGCATGATTATTTTGGTGTATGCGTGTTGCATGTGTCGTGAATTATTTCACTGCCGGCTCATGCACCATTGTATGACTACAGTGCGGTCTGTTTATCTCGACGGACATCTGAAATGCCACGCTGACACCCAGAAGTGACGCTGATCAGATGGTGACTGGGGACCAACCCAGACCGGAATGTTCACGCTCGGTCACTGGAGCCTGTGGCGACGCCGTCCATAGAATCACCTCCCTCAGAGCGGCGTCCCAACCCAGGCTGCAGCCCGGGACCAGGCTCCCAGGTGACCTGGAGGAGACATGCCTGTCGCACGGGTGAGCCACGAGGAGCTGAAGTTGAACAGGAAGCTGCCAGGCCACGCGGACCCCAAGGCACAGCCCAGGGATTCACGGCACGAGTCTCTGCTTAGACTGGAGTACAAGGCTCCTGTGTGAGCAGCTCGGAAGTGTCTCGCAGCTCCGGGGTTCCGCTGTCCCCCACCATCCCCCTGTAGCTCCAGTGGCTCAAAAATCGGAAATGCTCCAAGCCCACTAGCCTGACACCCCCACTCTGGACAGGTGTGTCTCAGTTGGTTCCAGCACTGAAGCCTGCAGTGGATTCCTGCCCCTGCCCCCGAGCTCCCTTGCCCCCCTGCCCACCCAGGTCTCACTGCGAGCCCTAGTGTCCAGTCTGGCGAGCAGGCCCCCTTCTCAGGGGCCCATCCAGCACCTCCTGCACACTCAGGAGCTGCCCCTCAGCATCTTCGCTCTGGGTCACGTTTTCCACCCTTGCAAGCACTAGATCACGCGATGAAACACTTCATAACAAAACAGCGCGGGTGTTCCGGGCCTCGGGCCCCCGCCCCACCGTGTTTGTGGCACTCTGACCTTCGTTCTCCCATTGTGGCCAAGGGTCTGCTTCCTGGGTTGTGACCAGGAAGCACATTTTCTCTAACTTAGGAAAAACAAAATATGAAAAAGAAGACTTGAATTATTTCCTGAAGGGTTACGAAAGCTCAGGGTAATTCTGAGGACTGTTTAACCATTCCAGAGTAAAACCACTCCCTGCTCTAAATTCTAACATACTACTCGTTACCTTATTTGTTGCCATACAAGTGCTTCCGTATTTGCTTTCGGGGAAATTGTCGTTTGGAGAACTCAAACAGGATCTAGTCATCTGGTCGGTAACATAGATGAAGGCGAAGCTTAAGAGAGCTTCAAAGAATTCCAGGAAAACCAGCTGCAACAGAGGGAGCGACAGGGTCTCCCTCACCCTCGCGCACCCCGAGGTCTACCAGAGCCACGTGCGGTGTTCCTGTCTGTCCTCTGGAGAAGACCCCACTCACTGCGTGAGGACGGCGCACACACACCCGTCTGCGTTTAAAAGACCTATTATGACATACGTTCTGTCATCACACTTGTGAGTCCTTGCTTCTATTTTTGACAGACGTATTTTATATTAGTTAATGGACAACAATCATTTTCGAAAGTGCTTCCTTCTCTCTGGAACAACTAGAGAAGTGGCACCTGGACACCAAGCGGCCAGTGCAAGTGCTCACCCACAGGGCGGCTGTCCCCTGCGCCCCCCCGTGGTCCCCACTTGCAGGCCCGCGGAGCAGGCGTGTGGGTGGGGCGGGCGGGCTGGCTGGCTCGGACTTGGATCGTCTACCTGTCACGTCTACGGGTCCTGAGCTGGAACGGGCCCCCCAGGCGGACCGGAGGCTCCAGGCTGGCCTCTGCCTGCTGCTGGGGAAGACCTGAGCTGCTCGCAGCACCAGGGTCCCCAGTCTGACGGTGTGCTGAGCCCCGCCCAGAGGTGGGCCTGGCTGGCTGGAAGATGGGACCCTTGCCCGCTGCAGGAAATGCTAACAGTGAAAGGCCCTTACACCTAGTTCTTGGAGGAGGAGGGCAGTTAGTATCTCTGGGTATGTGACATGTACGCCACAGAACGCAGACACGTATGTATTGCATTGCTAAGTATCCATGAACTTGCACGGCAGGTTTATGTTCTCTTGACTTTGTTCATCATTTCCTGACATCTGAGGTGTTCTTTTTAATACTAATCTCTAATCTCCTGACACAATCTAGGGGATGTGCGTGCATACACACACTCGTGCACATATATAGTTTTTTGTGTTGGGATTAGAATTCTTTTCAATCAAATCTCGGTCTTGGTACCCAAAGAAAAACAAACAGTCTGGACTGGATCTATACCATTTGCGTCAGCTCTTCACAGACCTCAAGTTCCAAGTTGCTGTCAATTCCGTCACACATGAAAGGATTGTCCTCTGCGATGACCTCCACAAATCTGGTTGCTGTTAATTCTTTACTTAACATTCTAAAGTTCTGTAAAAGAAACATCCAGTCAAACCGTAATGGCCTCTCATTTCAAACAGCTATGTATTTTTAATGTCCACTTATATCAATACAACACTTTAAGAAAATGTACCAGAAACGACTATCTTAAAAAGGGATGATTTTGTAAAGCATTCTGGATTGACATTGCAAGTTACCTCTCTTCTCCTAACCTAACCCTTCAGAAGCACCAGGAAAGGTTTTCTGAGAGGTCTGATCCCAGGACAGAGGCAACGGGAAAGCAGACGATCCGGACGTGAGAGGCCAGCCCGGCTCTGAGCGGGCAAGGGCTGGACCGGGGACTGGGCAGACCCCAGGCAGGCGGGAGGCGAGCCGGGCCGCCGCAGGGAAGGCAGGAGGGCGAGGCACCTCTGAAAGTCGTGCTGCGGGTGGGGCTGAATGCAGAAGGCTCCCTGAAAGCCTAGCCAGAGACCGAAGGCGTGCTCTGAGACACTGAACCACAGGGCACCTGGCCTGGAAGACACTCGGTCCCCCTACGGCCCCAGTGCTGCTGAAACAAGGGTCGGGCGACAGAGCCTCCTGGAAACTCCTCCCTCCACACTGGCCTCCCCCCGCACCTTCTCAGAACTGAAAACCAGGCTCAGGTCTCCCAGAGGTTAGGAGAAACCCTCTCTTGCAACATGGAACATTCGAGAAAAGACATCAATGCTGAGGGAGTTGGCTCAGAGAAGGGGAGCAGCGGGACAGCTTCCTGGCCTGGTCACCCACGGATGTAATCTAGTCTTTGACAAGTGCCACTCAGCCACGAAGGGCTCCCAGTACGCCACACTCCCGAGTATGAGTGCACAGCCAGAGTTCAGCACACGCTACAGGCCAAGCCTTACAACAGCCAGAGAACAAAACCAGCAGGGAAGACACAGAAGCTTCTCGCGTACACAACACTTGAATTTCTTAAAGCCCTCCACCCCGCTGGCATTCCACTCTTTTGGTCTGAGCACCTGCCTTCCCGCAAGCACAAACCAAAAGCAGCATGAAACAAAACCCACCAGTCCTCAGTGTGAGAACAGTGTATGCATGAGGTGTTTTCACCATTTTCCAAACTGGAACTTTTCAAAACCCTTTTTCTGAGGAAGGATGCTTTCTTAACACGGCATTCACCCTCCACCCCTCCCTTCGAAGGCAAGGTCTGCTCAGTGCAGACAGCGGCCCTGCCCCACGGACCCCCCCCACCACCGTTCCACCTCCCCACCCCCCCCACCCCCGTGGGCAGGCAGTGGTGGGCACTCCGGTCCCCATCCTCCCGTCCCTGCCGCCACCGGCGGAGGCGCTCCCTTCCGCCCACAGAGACCCGGCAGACACTCGGCAGCCCTGAGAGCTCACCCCACACCCTCCCCTCCTTCTGCGTGTCATCACTCGCCCATCTCACCCTGCATTACAACCAAAATGCCCGTGAGCGATGGCGAGCCAGTGTCGGCCAGAGCGCTCACCCGCAGCATCCAGAGGAAGTGTCTCGCCTTCATGGTGAGCTCGTGGGGCGGCGCGGGGTGCGGCCGGCAGTACGCCTTGTACACCTCCCAGGTCAGGTCGACGTAATTCATCGCGTACAGCGTCTGCTGCTGCTCGCTGAACAGCAGGCCTGCAAATGCCGCAGACAGCGCCCGTTCAGAACACGACCGCGTGTTGTACTTTGAAAAAGCGGCGCTCCAGGGAATCCAGTGGTGGTGTACCTACCGTTTACATGGCAGGCATTGGGGTGGATGTTCTCGGTCATCAGTTTCGTGAAGCACAGAAACAGCGAGGGGCTCCGATTTCTGCAATTAAAAAGATGCTGCCATCAGCCCTCCCTCCAGCAGGGGCTGTAATTCCCCTCCTAGAGTGGGCGGTGGGGGGGGGGGGCTCGGTAACTGGCCTCTAACAAGCAGAGCGTAGAAAGGGAAAAACACTGCAGAGAGTGGAGAGGACACAGCCCCGCTGACACCACTGTAACCGGGTCGTCAAGGTTAACGTCACCGGTAATGAGACGGACCGACGTCGCACAGGCTGACGGGAGTGGGGGGAAGGGCAGCTCACCTCCCTGGTATCCTTGCCCTAACCCATACGCTCAGGGTCATGACGGGAAAGCACTGGCAGACCAAAATCGAGGGACATTTTACGGAACAACTGACCGATGTTCTTCCAAAGTGTCAAGGCTGTAAAGGACAAAATCTGAGAAACGATCACGGGTGGCAGGGGACTATGACAGGACAGCTTCACGCCACGTGGGATCCTGGTTTAGATACTGGGACAGGAAAGGGACATTGGTGGGAAGACTGGGGACATCGTAACAAAGCCTGCAATTTACTTAAAGGTACGGCAGCTACAGTGGTCCCTTCACTTCGGTAAGTGTGCCTTGGTTCTGCAGGGCGTTCCTCGGGGAAGCGGTGAAAGGTGCGTGCATCTGCTTTGCTCTGAGAGAGGCAGGAAGCTCTGGCCTGAGGACAAGCTGGTTGTGACTGTTTCTGAATGAAGCCCCGGGAGCTCCCTGTGGGGCTGGAACCCTGCAGGTTCCCATGTTTAAGCTGCAATCTTCGCGGTTTTGTGGCGAATACTTTTGTCCCTGGTCCTTCAGTTCTCGAGTGTGTAAAAATCACCGTGAATGCCCAAGAACAGAGGACAGATGTGACCGCAGTGACAGCTGGTGCTGCCCGCACCCACCGACGGGGCCCGGGAGTGGTACTTACTGGTATTCTCTGTGATGAATGTGGTGAGCCAGCTGCACGAGGTAACTCAGAAATGTCCTCAGAAGGATTTTTGTAAACGGAGAATGAATTTCCTCAACTGGTATGTCATTGTTGGCTAAAATGAGAAAATTGGAAAGGATGCCTAGTATTTTCTAGCCCCTTCTATTTGACTTGCTCCTGGAGGGGTGCATCCTTTGGATGTTAACCATCCGAAGATCTGGATACTGGTGCGTATTTCCGAGAGCTGAGTGCTCTTCTTCCTAGAGAACACTCTCGACCGTACATCCGCATCCACTTAAAAGTCAAGTCCCACTCGGAAGACCTTCATCCGGTCACGCTATGAGAACTTGACAGGTCCCGTGTCTCGACACTTTTCCAAGTCTTCTGACCTACAGTTTGGTTAGTGCTGATAATTCTAAATAAATGCTAAGTCTACGTCAAACACTTACATTTGAAGTAAAGAGGTGTTTATTCTAGCACCTTATTTTTCAAGGAGGTGACCTGAGGCTCTCAGTCCTGCTTCCCAGAATTCAGCTCAAAGGGGTAAAGCCTTCAAGGTTGTTAGATTTATTGCATGAACTTTCTAATCAGAGATCAAGCCCAAGCCCAAGGCTATCTAAAGCTTTTCTAGGCTGTTCCAAGCCCTCCCCAGCCCTCTCCGCTTCTGACATGACAGTTCGGCATGATTCCACGACAGGTCAGGGCCGGAGAGTAAATACGAGACTCCGAGCTTTGTGGACTGGCTTCCGTCACAGCCACTCAGCTCTGGGGTCTGCGGGCAGAATCAGCCAGAGAAAGGCGTGCACAAATGGACATGGCTGTGTCCCAATAAAACTTTATTTACAAGAACAGGCCCGGGGCCCTGCTTTGCTGACCCCAGCTGTAGATGGTCTCGGTGTTGCTATTAGTCACGAGACTGCCTCCTCACGTGCGTCTGCAGCCCCTCACGAGAAGCCCCTGTGCTGATTCCCGCAACACCTCTCCTGGCCTCTGCCTTCACTCCCTCAGCATTTCCCGACTGCTTTCGTGGCGACATCGCGGTGCATTTCTCTTTGAGCCAACAGGTGTGAAGGCCCTGGAATACTCACCACTTAACACCCTGTCCATGTCAGCAAGAGTGATTTTATGGTGGTGAAATTTACAATCCTTCAGAAACCTCCAGAAATGAAGCTTTGTCATCAGGAAGGTGTTATCCAGGGAGCGGTCACATCCTAGGCTGCTATAGAAGCTATAGATTCTTCTTAATTCTGTAATATTTCTTAAGACAGCATACTCGACCTGAGAAGAGAAAGCCGTGCGTATCTTACCTTACCCAGTAAGAACAAAAGCAAAAGGAACACCTGTTTTCTGAATTAAACAGATAAAGAGCAAGTGGTGCGCACATACAGTGGAATAGGACTCAGCCATAAAAAAGAATGAGACCTCGCCATCGGCAACAACTTGGGTGGACCTAGAGGGTACCGTGCTGAGTGAAATTAGACAGAGAAAGACAAGTACCCTATGATTTCACTTAATATGTGGAATCTAAAAAAATAAACAGAACAGAAACAGACTCCCAGACACAGAAAACATTTTAATGCTTGCCACGTTGCAGGGTGCATCAAGGGAGGAGGCGAAGAGGTGAAGGGATTAAGAAGTACAAACCGGTAGTCACAGAACAGTCATGGGGACGTAAGTACAGCATAGGGGATACAGTCGCTAATAGTGTTATAACTATGGTGCCACTGCATTAGGTGATTCATCAGGTGACCACGTCCTAAGTTATACAAACATCTAATCACTGGATTGTACACCTGAAACTAATATAATATTGTATGTCAACTGTCATTGAAAAATATATTATGTGTCAAAAGTATTCAAGCCTAAAATACAAATTTATAACAGCACAAAAGGCTTTTACCTGCTTCCGTTCCTCTGCTTGGTCTTTCTCAGGGTACATCCGTAGCAACAAACGCAGGTCCAGCTCAATGCTCGAGCCCAGCACTGGATTACTTCCACTGCCATCAAGCTTTCTGATGATTTCTAGCAAATGAAGGCAAAGACAGGGCGTCATTGTGAAGAGCAATGTTGAAATTTTTTCAGTGTCATACCAAAACAATCTTCCGCACAAGTGTGATACAAGAGTAGTATTCCAAACAACCGACTAAGGAAGCAGCTGCTCATGGGAAACTTCTGTTTTCTGACACATTAGATGTATTTTGATGAGCGGGTACCACGGAAAACAGAGATTCACTAACTTTCAAGCGGCAGGTGCACACTCCCTACCGGCACTGGAAGGTCCTCGGAACTGGCTCCCGAGGGCAGAGTCGGCACACAGGTCTGGGTCATCCGTCAATTCATCCTCGGTGTCTGCAAACTTCGCTATGTGGTCGTTGTAAAACAGGCCAGTATACACACACCCGTTCTTGAAAGTTAAGCGGCCCTGCAGATAAAAATGTAACTTGTAAGTGTAGAAAAAATTTTCTTAGAAAACCACTGGTAAATGTACATAAAAATCTTTCTCAAGAGTTTGTAGTATTTTTGTTTAAGACATGCACTTACTCCACACATCATCCAGTTCCTTGACCCTTACGTTGCTGCGTAAACCCTCTGCCTCCTCCTGATTCTCCTTCCTTCCCCACTCCTCTCTTCTTGCTGTATCTGCCTCACGACCTCTGCCCACCTGTAAGCACCCCTCAGCCACAGAATGTCTTATTAAACTACGCTAATGACCACCAGAGTGCCCGTCACAGAAAAGTCTTGATATTTGTCAAAATCTCTTGACACTTGTTGAGCCCAGGCTAACGGTCAGTCTGACCCAGAGGTGGGTAAATGACCCAATTCAACTCAGTGAAACTCAAGACATTTGTAGGAAGCTTTTTGAAAAAGTTTCTGCCCTGGCTGGTGTGGTTCAGTGGATTGAGTGCTGGCCTGCAAACCAGGGGGGTCGCTGGTTCAACTCCTGGTCAGGGCACATGCCTGGGTTGCAGGCCAGGTCCCCAGAAGTGGGTACACAAGAGGCAACCACACACTGATGTTTCTCTCCCTCTCTTCCCCTCGCTCTAAAAATAAATAAATAAAATCTTTAAGAAAAAAAAAAACATTTTCTGCTCTTCTACTTAAGTGTGGAATATGGATGTGAAGTCAGGAGCCACAGCAGCCATCCTGCAATCATGAAGCAAGGGCAGTGTAAGGGTGAGGCTGACATGGTGGGAGACTCCATGGATAGACGGAGGAGAAACCTGGCTTCACTGAGTTGCTGAATCAAGCCAACACAGAAGCCCACGTTATTTTTTATCATTTATAGAAGATTAAGCTAGATTTTCTATTACTTAGAATGAAAACCATCCTAACACACCCCCCCCACACAAGCACATACAACACAAACTAATTAAATAACCTCTAAATGTACCTGAAATTGATGATTTGGTGGTAATTATTTTAAAATTCATGTAATCATCTTAACAAAAGAGTAAGTTATCCTATGACAAACAGATAACGCACTTTACTAGACAGAGAGAATGAGGTACCTCTCACTGTATCTCAAGTGCTTTACATCATCTTTAAAATGTAATCTCCACAGGTCTGTACTCACCATGCCGTGCTTTTTATTGAAAACCCATTCTCCCTCGTATGTGGCTCCACTGGCGTAGTAAAACGTCCCATAGCCATGACGATACCCGTTCACGAAGTTCCCTCTGTATTCATTTCTCAAAGGATACTGGGAGTTGGGGACTCTCTTTAGAAACCAGGTGTGTGTTCCTAAACCATTCTGAAAAGAAAGGACGTTTCCGTGAGAAATGTTCAAAATACTTCCTCTTTTCCCTTGAGTCTATTGACCCATATGGAGGAACCACGTGACGCATGTGAAGGGGCCGGGAACAGGGAGTTCAGGGTCACGCAGCCCTGGGTGCGGCCCCAGCCCCGCTCCGTGCCAGCCAGCCCTGACCCGAGGCAAGTCGTCGGAGCCCCCGTCTCTCCTCTGCAGAATGGGAACGACGCCCGCCCCCGTGCGGGCTGGCTGCACGGGTCGAGGGCCGTGCACGTCAGGGGCCTGGCCTGAGCGTCCAGACTTGGCAGCACTGGAAAGTCGGACACCCAGACGCGGCCACGCCGAGTCCCATGTGCACTGCGGGGCCGCAGGGCGTCCGCCTCTGCAGGTGCTCTGCGGGTACCTGGGCGCCCCTGTCCCATTGACCGCTGTACTCCTCGTTAGTCGTCAGCCACCGCATCCTGCCTTCCCCGTGCCGCACGTTGTCATCCCACTGACCTTCGTACACATTTCCAGATTTGTAACTAGGACCAAAAAAGATTTTTTTCTCGAAACAATCCGTTATCTCAAACACACCTATGTACCGCTAAGACTCTCTCTGAAATGTTCTCCCTGAACTCTCATGAAGAGATCCAGCCCTCTTGCCCATATACTCTTCCCTGTAGTTAAAGGCAATGGGTGGGCATGTGGTCAGTAAAAACAATCACCTTAGGAGGTGTAATAAATCATTTTATTAAACTCTCTCAGTGGACAAGAGCAAGGACTTCAAGTCTTTACAAATAATTCCCTGTAGTACTATTAGTTAATAGTTTGCCCCCCAAGTATTTTGAGTCTACCAGCTCAATCTGAAAATCAAGCAAATGTGTCAGCATCCTTCAGAAAATGTAAAGCTTATCATGGCGATCAATGATGAATACGGAGAATGAGGAAAGGCAGTTTCTACGTAGAGTAGAACAGTGTGACTAGACTTCATTTAATCTGGTGCTTGTCTAAACTCGCTGTCTAGTATTTGCATTACCATGAGGGAGATATTGGGTGAATGTAAACATTCCACCTGTTTCCACAGGAAACATGTTCTCTGTGCCTTCCCCACCTATGGTTCAACAGCCTGACCCCACACCACCGCTCACCTCCCACTCTGGGCCCCTCCCACTCTGGGCCCCTCCCACTCTGGGCCCCTCCCACTCCGGGCCCCTCCCACTCCGGGCCCCTCCCACTCCGGCCGCCCCAGTCCTGGAGCAGCGGCACCTACCGTCTTACTCCCCAGCCCTTTCTGACGTTGTGGTCCCAGCTCCCCTCGTAGGAAGAGGCACCCTCTCGGTCGTAATAAATGCAGCCCTAAAATAACAATAGCATGTAAACAAAAATCAAGCCTCAGATAACAAATCCTGTTTTACAGGTAAAGATAAGAAATAAACTATATGAATTTAAGGGCCTAAATTATGCAGAAGTCAAACATCACACTCAGGCAAGACGTGTAATCTGTGTTACGTTTCTGTTTTGCAATCAAGAACAGGGTAGAGTATCCACCGAGGGAGAATGAGCTAATGTCACAAATTAACGATTCCTTAGCAACACAGTGCCACGTGAGGGCGTGGGGCTGCCGACGACATTCCCTGCCTTCAGTGTGTCCACTGCATCTGTGACTAGCAGTCAAGCAAGTACCTAAAGCAATCCTGGTTCACTGCCACCTGAAGTGAAGAGTAGCACCTTCCATAGAACGGATCACTCTCGTAGGTACCAAAACCATTTTTCTTTTATCCATTTGGACGTCCTACTTACTTTACTGCCTCCAAACGCAAGTGACCACAACGTCACCATGCTGTGGTGACTCCTCTAAGGGGATGGCCACTGTACAAGGGATTCGGGTCTATGCTGAATGGACTCAAGTTGCTGGTTTATTCACTGGTGTGTATGTGTGTATGTGTGTGTGTGTGTGTGAGAGAGAGAGAGACAGAGTTTTCTTATTAAGCTAACGTGCTCCTGCTTATGACCATCTGGGTGCCTATGTGGGGCGCTCACCACCCCAAGCCTGAACTGGTCTGCAATGAGCTAAAACTAAACAAAACAGAAGACGTCAACGGAACAGTCTAAATCCCTCCGAGGAAAGTGATGATTATAATGGTAGGCTTTTTCTTTTCTAAAAACATTGCCACGGCATTCTACCATCCCACAGCAAAACAAACAACAGCTCCAGAAACCACCACCTTGCTCATGAGGGACCGGAACCAATGCTGCTGGTGACAATGTCAGTGGTGTGGCCACCGTGGGAAAACAGGCTGGCGTTTCTCCAAAATGTAAACATCGCGTTACCATGTGACCTAATGATTCCGCTCCTGGATGTACTCAGGTCAGCAAACAGGTGCTCGACGGAATGCTTGCCCACATGCACAGCGACACTGTTCACAGTGGCCACAAGATGGGAACAGCCCAAACGGCCAGTGATGGGGTGAATGGATAAACAAAATGTGGTCTATCCACACAGCGAAATACTACTCGGCCATAAAAAGGGAGGAAGCACCTAGGACACAGATGAACCTCGAAAACACGGTGCTCAGTGCAGGCAGCCGACACAGCACAGGTCACGTGCCGTGTGGTCCCACTGCACAGGAAACGTCCGGAGCACATAAACCCAGGACACAGACCGCGGACTGCTGGCATTGCGGGCTGAGGGGGCTGAGGAGTAGCTACCGAACAGGTATGGGGTTTATTTTGGACTGATGACACCTTTGGGGACGAGACAGGTTGTGTCTGCACAACACGGAGAATGTACTGACACCACAGGCCACCACTGAATTGCTTACTCCGCGATGGTTAACTCCACGTGCCACGAAGTCCCCCTCAGTGAACAGAAGCGGATGTACCTCCACAGCCCCCGCCCCCCCCGCCCCCCGAGTCTGGACGTCCCATGTGCAGAGGGCCGTCCCGTGGCGGCCTCACTCACCATCCCGTGTCTCTTGCCCTGGCACCACTGGCCGATGTAGGACATGGGCTGCGTGACGCACTTGAACACACCAAACCCGTTCCTCTTGCCGTTGACCACTTCTCCTTTGTAGGTGCTGCCGTCCGGCCACGTGTGCACGCTGAGGTTCACGGAGATGCTCTTCACAAAGCGCCCCTGGGGAAAGTGGCCGAAAGAGTGACAGAAAGAAGGCATGGAGACATCGCCCAGCCCGTGAGACGTTTTGAGATGCGTCCTTGACTACCGATACCACACCTGCCTCTCCTGCTGGGGAGACACTGGACTATCCCCCCAGCTTCCACCGTCCCTCCCCGTCTCTGCGCATCCCGTCCTCCCTCGCCTGGCCCCCCAACGAGGGAGAAGTCCCGGCACGAAAGTGCATCTGGAAGTCTGTGTGCAGACGGAGCGCCCCGCGGCAAGCAGCTGACACCCTGGCCTTGGGACCTTGGATTTCTGGAACCCGCCCTGAAGGAGGCTGAGAGTGGGGGGTTGAAATCTGTACCCTCTCTTGGAGGGCAGTTCGGTTCTAGCAGTTGACTTAGAAGTACCTACTGCAAGATGGGTTAGTGAGCCCCCCAGAGTGGGACGGGGGCTGCGGTGTGATCTCTGCGAAAGGAAGGTAGGAGAAAGTGTGTAATGGACTGTGACAAGGAGAGACCCAGTACATGCACAGGACACACAGAACCCTCTAGAATGTGCAAATGGCACTGCCAACACCACCAGAGCGTCCTGGGCCGTAACGACTTACTTTTCGCCCGTATTCTTTGGTTCTGTGGATTTCTTTGACCCATGTGCTGAAGTACTTTCATGAAAGCAGTATGTTTAATTGTGGGAACCTGACCGTTAAATCTCACAACTACGGTTTAGAACTATAACGTGTTATGTGCTTCATTTCACATCCAGTTCACCGGCCCAAACGTAAGTCCCTGGTCCATGCAGGGGTCCTTCTGCAAACACACCCTTCCAAACAGAACAATGGCAAACCCTTGGGACCGATCACAGACTTCATACGACCGCTGCCACTGACGGCATCAGGCCTTCACGGACCGTCACCCACAGCGACATGCTGTGTCCACGGGCAGAGCTTGCCTTTGAGCTGGGACCACGCTGGCGCCCACCCTGTTCCAAAACGAATCCGTGGGGGAGTCCGAAAAAATCTGGCTGCCTGCACCTTACACCAGGCAGTCCTGTGCCACTGTTAGACAGGAGCCTGAATTCAACCTGGGTCTGCATTTCTGAGTTTTTATGAAAAACTTAACATGTATGTTAAGGGGGAAAAATTGGCATGCTAACACTCGTGCCTAGGGCCTCAACCACAAAAACGTGTGCTCCTATAATAATCATGTATTTTTCTGACAGTCTGAATGAAGACCCTCATTGTGGTGTTATTAATAAATGCAAAAAATGAAAACACCCCAGAAGCATCCAACAACTATGGCATGGTTGTGAATAGTAAATTAGAACACTATGCAGTGTTAAGAATAATTACTATGGAGGAGGGAAAGGGGATCTGATGTTTAATAGGTACAAAGTTTTTCTGATATGATGACAAAGTTCTGGAGTAGGTTAGAAGTGAAGGTACAAGTCATGATACAACCTGGTTTAAGTGTACTTAATGACACTGAACTTGGACACTTACAAATGTTTGAAATAATGAATTTTATGTTATATATACTTACCACAGTAAAAACAAGTTACAAAGCCATGTAACAATACCAAGGATTCACAAGTCAAAAAAGATCCCAGATGGCCCTGGCTGGTGTGGCTCAGTGGACCGAGTGCAAACCAAAGGGTCGCCGGTTTGATGCCCAGTCACGGCACAGGCCTGGGTTGCAGGCCAGGTCCCCACAAGGGGCCATGTGAGAGGCAACCACGCAACTGACCTTTCTCTCCCTCTCTCCCTTCTGCTTTCTCTACATATAAATAAATAAAATCTTTAAAAAAAATCCAAGGTGTTATCTACAAAATGAATATGCCCAGGTGAAAACACTGATACAGCCATTCAAGAAACGCAAGGAACACAGCAAATTAATAACATGTACGGCGAATGGATGTCCATACCGGGGTTTCGCTCTCCGTTATTTACTGTAGTGACCTGAAGGCTGTTTGTACTACAAACAAAAATCAGGAAAAACAAAAAAAATCTAAACTGACTACTTCAGTTGCACTAAGCCCTGGGTTTACCTTAAAACGTGTAGTCAGGGTTCGCAACAAAGCCAGCACTAAGTGCTCCCGAGTTCTTCCGAAGCAGTCGATGCACGCGCCCGAAGACGCGGATCCCCGTCGCCCCGCACCTTCCCGCCCGCCCACCGCCCGCCTGTGTGACTCACGCGGTAGGCGCCGCCTCCTTGGAAGACTGCGAAGTCTTCTCTGTCGTGCAGGCCTTGCGCTCTTCCCCCTTCATAGCTACAGGGAAATGAAACTCAAGGTCACGGCTGGTGTAAACCTACGTGACAGCGGGTGAAGACGCACAATTTAACACGAGTGAAGGAGCACGTCTCACATGCATTCACTCAACAAACACTCCCCGAGAGCCACCGGACACCTGCCCCCTTCTCCGCGCTGGGGCAGAAGCTGTGAACTGTGCCCACGACTGGAGAGTTCCTGCCTCGGCAGCTTTTGGTTCAGCGAGGAGAGCCAGGCGATAAAGGTGAAACAAACAAACAAGCTTAACTCCAGACCGCGTTCAATTTTTTGTGAAACAAGTGCCCAGGGCAGGAGGCTGTACTTGACGGGCAGGCAGGGCGGAAGGACACGAGAGCTGCACTGAGAGCTCGGGAACCCGGAACACACACCTGTGAGAAGGCTCCTGGGCAGAGGGACCCGGGAAGCGGGGACAGCAAGTGCAGAGGGCCTGAGGCAGGGAAGAGCCTGAGATCTCAAGTTCAGAAAAAACAGTGAGGAGAGCAGCACAGCTGGGGCGAGGGAGAGAGGTCAGGAGGAGGTGAGAGGGGGCAAAGGCTGGGTGGGGGTGGTAGGGCATGGTGTACCAGGGTTGTCCCAAGCTTTGGCGTCTCTGGGCCCCACTGGAAGAAGAGGAGTTGTCTTGGGCCACACAGTAAATACATACACACTAATGAAAACTGAGGAGCACAAAAAAAAGCTTTCAAGTATATTCACGATTTTGTGTTGGGCTGCAACCACAGCCATCCTGGGCCACAGGCTGGACACCCCTGGCACTGCAGACTCTGCTTCATACTTTTTAATATCCTTCTATAGTGTTGAACTCAAGAGCTGGCACACAGTAAGTAGCTCATTAATAAATGGCTGCTATTACCATTCAAACAATGTATCTTTTAAAATCTTTTTTAAAAAGATTCTATTTATTTTATTGTTAGAGGTGAAGGGAAGGAGAAAGAGAGGGAGAGAAACATCAATGTGTGGTTGCCTCTGGCGTGGCCCCTACTGGAGGCCTGGCTTGCAACCCAGGCAAGTGCCCTAGACTGGGAATTGAACCAGTAACCCTTGATGGAACCTTGTGAAACCCGAACCCAACCCCATACAGCTAAGCTGCTCCCAGACTCCTGATCCCCATAAACTGTGTCAAACGACAGTTTCTGACTGCCCCGTGTTAGGGTGACTTGTTCTAAAGACAGACAACTAACACAAGGAGTGATGTCGGCAGGAAGGCACCTCTGTTCAGGAGGGAGGCCTGAGCAGACAGACCAGACACAGGGGAGTCTGCAGGGAGCGCGTCCAGCAGCCCAGTCAAGAGGTGATGAGTCTACGCACAGAGAGAGGGACTAACGAGAGCCGATGAGAGGAAAAGGAAACGAAAGGCATGGGAAGGAGGAGGCCAGTCCTGACCTCGAGGCTGGATCTGCAAGAAAGCAGTGGTGCCCTGGCAGACACAGGGGCCCCCGGAGAAGCCGGCGTCTGGGAGAGAAACAGCCACGTGCAGAGGAACCTTAGGGTGTGTATTCTCTCTCCTTTTCCCCAGTGAAGGAAGACCCTGAGGCTCAGAGAGGTTCGGTGACGGGGGCGATGCCTGCGTGGAGCTGACTCAGGTCCGGCTCCTCTCATTTCAAGTCCTGTGGCCTTTGCTTTCGGACACAGGCAGTGGGACGCCCAGTGGAGGACGCACAGTGGAGAGTTAAACATGTGCACCTAAAAGTCTAGGAGAAAGGCCAGTGCTAGCAGATTTTCACGGGCACCTGGAGGGGTGGTGGGTGAAACTGCAGAGGCTCCCGTGATGGAGAAGAGAGGGCATGAGAGTGGCAGAAAAGGAAGCACCCAGTAGGATCACCTTTCAACGAGGTCGCTGAGCACGGGCTCCTCGTACAGACCGGTATCGTCATCCTGCTGCGGGTTCCTGGATTCCCTTTTGGATCCTGGTTCGTGGAACTGCACTTCTGACTGTGGGCCGGGACTTGGGGACCTTTCTTGTCTAGCAGAATTGTCATCTAGTTTAGAAATCTCTGGGTTATCAGAGAGAGATGAGGAAGAGCGGGCAGACTTTTCCACTCTTCTGTCTGCTTTTTTCTTGTCTTTCACCATCCCCTCTAGAAGACCCAAAGTTCACTTTCTGTAAGTATCAAATGATTCCTTCGGCTGAGAGCTGTTTGTTTCAAAGCATTGATGAGTTTTACCTGAAAAATAAAAATTACGTCTCTAAACACCTCAGGGTTCCCCTAGAAATTAAAATTTTAGCCTTACAACCCAATGTCATTATCGTTCTTCTAAACCCTGGAAAATTACAAATGACAGGTATCACCAGTTTATAAAAATAATAGTTTCAATAGTACATCGATTGTTCCTATAATCTTAAAATTTGGAAACACTGCCTACCATGTTTCAGACAGAGTCCCAGCAAGAAGGGTACCCGGTCTATGGGAAGTGGCCACCTGACCCTTCAGGTCTTGCATGCAGTCCGTCCAGGCTCTAAAAGCCTGTCTCCTCGTACATCCATGGGGGCAAGTACGCAAGCCGGCCAGTCCACTGACCGACTGTGTGTTCTCCGGCAAGTTCTACCTCGTGTCCTTCTGCTTCATATACCAAGTAGGGATAACAGCACCTTGTTTCCTTATAAGGATTAAATAAGTTGATGCAAAAAAACGTGTCTAAAGTATGGGAAAGGGCACGCAAAGGAGTGATTATTTTATGTCACTTTCCTGTTTTGGAACTTGAAATCATCAGCTACCGGCCGCCTAAGCCAGCACTACCACGGACTGCATGGCCCCGATGCCAGCCATGAAGGAGGGTGTCCAGGTCCGAACCCAAGGGTCCATGACCCTCTAAAACTGGCCCCTCTGGAAGCCTCCAGGCCACAGAGCAGGCAAATAGGCTAGTTTTGGAGGGCCAGCCCCACCCCCTCCTTCGCCCCCAGCCAGCTCCACCCCACCCCCCCACCCCGCCCCCAGCCAGCTCCACCCCCCACACCCCCAGCCAGTCCCACACACCCCCTGCCCCCAGCCAGCTCCACCCCACTTCTAGGCTTTGCTCTTACACTGTCCTGCTTCCTATTAGTTTCTGTTTTACCTGGCCTCCCTGGCTGGACACCGGCTCTCCTATTTCTTCTTTCCTGAGTTCTGAGCAGGGCTTGGGGGCGCTGTTCCCTCACTTGCTGCCCCTCCGGAGGCCTGTGTGTTTGGTGGTGCGGTGCACGCAGAACCACAGGGCCTGGGGGCTGGGATCCAGCGCTAAATGCTTAACTGACTTCTGCTGCCAGGCCCGACCAAAGTGTTTCGCAGCCTGCGCGTCCAACCCAACTGGTCTCCAGGCAACCGTAGCCCCGCCCCGCCCCTCCCCACCCTTAAAGGGGCCACGCAGCCTCAGAAGCCTCTGAGTATTAGTGTTTTCTGCCCTACAGCCCTAGGCCGCCAGGTGGAAATCTGGAGCTGGATGCACTTGACCCGGGTTTTCCCAGCGGTGCTACCTGCCACATGTGACCTCTCGCCCTTCATCTTCACCATAACACAGGAATAATTAACTCACGTGTTACTTTTCCTTTGCACTGTAAACAAATTACCCAAACTTGTTTCGTGGCTTAAAGCAACACAAATCTATCCCCTTACAGTTAAGTTAGGAATCCAGCAGGGCCGGTCCCTTCTGAAGGCTCCAGGCTCTGGAAGGCTGCCTTCCGCCTCTTCCAAATCAGCGCGTGGCCTCTCCCCGGGCCCCACCAGAAGAGGGTCCCCAGTCTGGGTCATGGGACAGACGGGGCCCACCCAGCAAGGCCAGGGTGTCTCCCGTTTCTCAGCCCATTCCTTAACCACACCTGGAGAGCCTCCCAGTCAAGGGTTGTGGGTTTACCACAGAGCCATCTTTGGGGCCAGAAACCCCAATTTGCAGAGTTCTGGAAAAAATTACACGAGACCCCGCAGCCAGCCAGGCACACCAGCACAGTACCCGACACAACAGGTGTGAGTAATTACCACGTGACCGTCTTGTCCCAGAAGAGAAATTCTCAGTGTGCAGCGGAAGGCGGCCCGCGGTCGGGTCGGGGAGGGGGAGAGCAGGAGGGCGCCCACACTCGCCACTGCACACCAAGCGCGGCTTGGATGCCACAGACGGCATCTTTGCCAGAGTTGCCACGGAACAAGATTCCTTGAGAAACTACTTGATGAACCACAGGGATTCTTCTACCTCCAGTACCACTGACAGACAGAAGCTAGAGTATCTTGCAATTCACACCCCAAGGAAACCACATCACAGTGTTAAATTACAGAAATCCAGACCTTTTATTCCCCCGTGCCTACAACAGTGCCTTAACTGCCCTGGGAGCACCAGGGAACTTTTAAAAATCATGACCCCAGCCCCACCTGGGTCGCTTCTCTTCCAGCCAGGCAGGGAATCCCTGCTGGGTTTTCCAGATTATTCTTTTTTTTAAAAAAGTTCATGCGCATCAGGGTTGAGAATCACTAACCCAAGAGAACCATAATTTTAAATTTATGAAATTAAACCATTACAGATTTAATCATCACAAAGGGCTCAAATTTGCAGCCTAAAATACGTCGGGGCAGTGCAGAGGCCTGGGTGACTTTGAAAGTGCTCTTCCTGACTTAAAAAAAACACGCGCTTGCCTATATACACACATCCGCAGACAGACAGACAGACAGACAGACGTACAAATGCAGAACACGACACACTGCAGCGATGCTCCCCGTGGTTCAAAAGGTTCTCAACATCATTTCTAAATGGCTGCGGTGCTTAACGGTTAAAACTCTGCCTTTCAACACACACAGAGACTCCTGCAAGGCACGGTCTAGGCCCACACAGCGAGAAGCGTCAGTTTTGAGAGATGACATCCAGATTAGCGATGTGTCTCATGGTCGGCCTGCCGTGGGGGCAGTTCCAGGGGTGGTCCATCTCACCCATGTGGGTGATGAGTTTCTTCATCTCACTTGTGTTAAGAGCAGTTCCGATCATCACCTGAGTATGAGACACAACGGTGTACAGTTGTACTGGGATTTGGTTAAAACAGCTGTTCAGCCACATTTTTCTCTAAAACAAGGCTAGGCAAGATTACAACTCAGAAATGACATTCCCTGAAAAATCTTCCCTCAAGGAACCCCACCTTCTAACACCTCAGCCTCCACTTTTCCATGAAACCCAGCCCCTCCTGGGCCCCTTCGCCTTCACTCGAGATGCCGACCACACCTGGATCTCGACAGCAGCAGCAGCAGCAGCAGCACGACCTGTGTGGGTGCTCTCACCTTGGCAATTGCAGGGGCCTCCTAACTGCCTCCCCGCTTCCCCTCTTCCCCTCGACCATCAGTTCTACCTAACAGCCAGTGATTCCTTTTAAAGGTATGTCAGATCTCACAGCTGCTCTGCACAAGCCTCACCCGAATGAAAGCCAAGTGCATCACCTGGTTTGGCCCTCACTGGCCTCCATGCCTGCACCTGCAAGCACGCAACCCTCCCTGCCCCCTCTCCAGCCACACTGGCACCCCTCTCCTCTGGCACAAAAACGTAAAGCAAGCACCTGCCTCAGGACCTTGGTACTGGCGGTGCCCTCCACCGCAGCCTCTCCTCCAACGTCTGCGTGCCTCACTGCTCCTCTCCCTTCGAGCTTTTGCTCTCATGCTCCTGCCTCTTCCAATGACACAGCTCCCCTGCTGAACCCTCTGCAGTCCTCGCCCTGCTTCCTCTCCACAGCACGTATCCCTGTCTGACACATACAGGGAGATGGGCAGACACCAGAGCAAGCGCAGAAAAGCTGAGGCCCTGAGACACTAGGAGAGGTGACAAGAGGTGACACACCTGAACCTGGCAGTGCTAGAGGCAATGGGGCGGGGCTCTGGCCTGCTGGAGGAAGACAGACAACAGACAAGTTAACAAAAGCAAGACAAGCATCACCCGGGGTGCTGTGCCCAAGTGCCCGGAAGAGGCTACTTCAGCCGGGTGCTCAGGGCCCAGGACAGACAAGAGCCAGGGATGTGATGAAAGGACATGCGCAGGGAACCCAGGCAGAGGGACGGCCAAGCGTAACAGGCATGAGGCGGGAAGACTAGTGTGATTGGTTTGCAGACAAGCACAGCAGACGGAGCTGGAAGGGCGGGACAGCTGGAGCTGGAGCGCTCGGGGTGGCAGCGGAAAGCCCCCGACAGGCAGTGGGCAGGCTCGGGTGTGCTGCCCGGAGGACAGGAGCTGCAGCGGGGTGGCCCTGCCAGGGCGCGGCGCAAAGGAGCAGCCTGTGGCTCTGAAGTCGTCCAAGTCGTGGGAAGACACAACTTAAAATGTCTGGCTGTCAACACAGGCCAGTCCCAGCTCTACTCACAAACTCCACGATTAGGTCAATGTTAGTCTGCGCCAACAAAGTCTCTGTGGCTCACAGACCCTGGGCCCTACTCTCTGCTATAATTAAACTCTTCCCTTGGGCTTAATTAGAGCAGAGATCTAGTCCCCAGGGCTGTAAAGCACACCTAAAATTTTATCTCCAACACTGACATTTCCCTTGAGCTTGATATTCATTAATACAACTGTTTTAGACACCTCCGCATACCAGCTAATGGAATCCCAAAAAAGCATGTCTAAAACTGAACTCTTAACCCCACCCGCCCCTGAAATGTGGAAAAGCTGCTGCTCTCCCCACCCCCCTTATTTCCGCCAGGCACCTCCTACAGTCTGTTCTCAGCCACGAGAATCCTCCAGGGCCGCCCCGACCCCAACACAGCAGCACCGACTCCCAGGTTTCTGCCCAGGTTCTGCAAGGCCCCATGTGGAGCCCTGGACACTGTACCGCTCTCACCCTGGTCCCCTCCCCAGTCGGATCAGCCTCTGGCTTTGCTCAAACCCCTGAGCCGTTACGCTGGCCATTTCTTCTATCCGGAAGGCTCTGACCCGAGGGGCTGCATCTCCCCTTTCAAGCATCGGCTCAGATGCCACCTCCTCAGACGGCCTCCCCCTGCTCAGCCATCTCAGCTGTTCACCTCGGCGTTTTGAGCGCGCTCCCTATGCCAGTGCTGTTTTCGTCTCTTTACTGAACTTACTGGTGTCTGAAACTGTCATTTTGTTTTGTGTTTCTCCCCACTAAACTACAGGCTCCACAAGGGCAGGGACCTCATCTCCCTTGTCCCCCAGTGTCCCCATCGCCTGGCACAGGGAGGGCCACCCAGCAGGGGCTGGAGGAGTAACTGTTGAATAAATGAAGGAATGGGGCCCCCTGGCCTTTCCTAGGGGCCAGGAGAGGGAGATTCACTTCCTTTACCTGGGCATCCGGCCGTCAGCCACTGCTCCCACTTTCCAGGGCCACCCTGAGCGGTGCACGACCCATATTTTGCCGTGTATAATGCGCACTTTACTTTTTGCCCAAATTTTTGAGGGAAAAATAATAATGCGTATTATACATGGGTCGCACTAATTCCATATTTATGTTTTCAATTCTTTTATGTATGCTTATGCATTAGAAGTATAACTGTAGAAAGCAGTAATGATACCCATATCCAAAATAATACTCTTGAATATGATAATCGATTTTGTTTCTAAATACAAATAAATAACTGAATTAAAAAATTAAAACGTAAGATATTTTTCCCCTCAAAGTCCGAGCCTAAAACTTAGGTGCGCATTATAGGTGGCCAAACACGGTAATGCTCCACGCTCCACGGGGCACCTCTGAAATGCCTGCTGACCGGAGGGGCTGGTGTGACCTGCGCGGTCCCCTGGCCAGGGCAGCCGCAGGCTCCACCCCGCAGTGATGCTGATAGCCGGGAGGTGTTACAGTGCGCACGAACAGGTAACTGCACTGGGACCGGCGCACCGAGAGAGAGCACGCTCATCGGAGGCAGAGAAGAGCAGTGACTGTGGGCCGGAGGTCAAAGGCAATGCAGACGTGTGGAACTGGTGTGTCACGCTGACAGAGCGCCATGAGCCTTCATCCATACGATGGAGCATGGCAGTCACTCCTGCCTGGGGACCTCAGGGGACCACAAGTGTGAGCCTCTGGGTCCCGCAGGACGAGCCCCCGTTACTTACGGACTTCCGGCAGGCTCTGGAGGCGAACATCTGCCGCACGCGGGACGGCCGGCACATGACCCCCGGGCTGTCGCTCAGCATGAAGATCAGCTCATCGATGTCCTGGGGCCCAAAGGTCCAGTTTTTACTTGTTGGCAAGGAGATCAATTTAGCCCTTTCAGTGACGGGTGCTGAAAGAATAAAATGTGGAGAGAGAGTCATTATTTGGAAAATGGGTTTTGTCTGAGTGCTCCTAGTAACAAACGTTTGGAAGAGGGGACAA